AAAGCAAACAAAATTTGCACTGTATTAATTATACACTTACAATGTATAATTTACATTGTATTAATTATACACTTATAATGTAAAATTTACATTGTATTCAGTATTGTAAGTAACCTAGAGATGATTTAAAGTGTATGGGACGTTGTGCATAGGTTATATGCAAAGACTACACCATTTTATATAAGGGACTTGAGCATTCATGGATTTTGGTATGGTTACCAGGAGGTGTCCTGGAACCAATCCCTCCGGGATACTGAGGGACTAATGTACTAGACCAGACCAACAGTTCTCAAAGTATGGGCCAGGGAACCCTAGGGATCCCCAAGAATTTTTCAGGTGATTTTTCCAAAGTAAGAACTAGTTCCATAATGATACTATTTGAATTTTCATTCTCATTTTCTCTTAAGTGTACAGTGAAGTTTTCCGGAGGCTACAAGTATGATGTGTAATATCACAACAGATTGAATGCAGAAGAAGACATGAGAATGTAGATCTCTTCTGTTAAGCCACGTACTAAAAAGAGATGCAAAAAATGTAAAATAATGCCATGCTTCTCACTAAATATTTTTGTTTTGAAAAACATATTTTCTCATAAATACATGATTTATGTTAGTGTCTAATGGACTTATTGTTATTATATTGATCAATGAATTTATCTTTTTACTTCTGTTTTAATTTCTAACCCTGTGCGTATGATAGATACAGGCTCTGCGGCCAAAACGTTTGAGAACTGCTGTCCTAGACAAACCAAACGAGGCCTTCTGCCCAGGATCAGACCAAACTCACTCCCGTTATACTATCTCTCCTCTAGGCAGAGGGGACATTCTGATATAAAGCCGACTTTAGGAAAAACATTTCCTAAACCAGCCAGTCACGGCCCTCTCTTTCCTCCACAAAAATCCCCTCTTTTCTACCTATTTGGAGACCACAGCTAGGCCAGGGGCTACAGTAGGCGGGACCGGCGAGTGGGAGGGGCTCGGGGAGTGGGCGGGGCCGACGCGCCTAGGCGGGACAAGACAGAGCCTGCGTGAGAGCTGGGCATGCCCCAGGAGCACTGCATTCTGGGATGCGGAGCCACCGCTGGCCTTGACTAATGAGATGCTGCCGCGTCACAAGGGGCGACCCTCTGGGGCTCAACCTCGCGGAGCACTGTGGGGGCTGCCTCGGCCTGCCCTCTGCGCTTCTCCCCGCGCCGTGGCCCGCGGGCCGTGGCGGCCCCAACATGGTGGACTACTACGAGGTGCTGGGCGTGCCCCGGCAGGCCTCGTCCGAGGCCATCAAGAAGGCGTACCGCAAGCTGGCGCTCAAGTGGCACCCCGACAAAAATCCTGAGAACAAGGAGGAAGCGGAGCAGAGATTCAAACAGGTGGCCCAGGCCTATGAGGTGTTGTCGGACTCCAAGAAACGCGACGTCTACGACCGCTGTGGTAAGGCCGGCGTGGATGGTGGCGGCGCCGCCGGCGGGCCCTTCGAGGACCCCTTCGAGTACAACTTCACCTTCCGCGACCCGGCCGAGGTCTTCAGGGAGTTCTTTGGTGGCCGGGACCCATTTTCGTTTGACTTCTTCGGAGACCCGCTTGAGAACATTTTTGGGGGTCGGAGGAGCTCCCGGGGAAGCAGAAACAGAGGGTCAGCATCCCTTTTCTCCACCTTCAATGAATTTCCAGGCTTTGGAGGTGGTTTTTCTTCTTTGGATACAGAATTTACTTCCTTTAGCTCCCTGGGAAATGGGGGCCTTTCTTCCTTCTCCATGTCTGCTGGTGGTGGTGGAACAGGCAGCTTCAGGTCCGTGTCGACATCCACAGAAATAGTGAATGGCAAAAAAATCACCACCAAGAGAATTGTTGAGAATGGCCAAGAAAGAGTGGAAGTGGAAGAAGACGGAGAGTTAAAGTCCCTGATGATAAATGGCAAAGAGCAGTTGCTACGCATTGACACCGAGTAATGCCAGTCCATGTTTGACTTAAAGCACATTTTAGGGAATAACAGGACTGTTTTTTGTTTTCTTTTTAAGATTGCAAGTGAACTCTACTTTGAGAACAACTGTACCCTAGAGTTTATAAACACTAAAAGCCAACGCCTGTTTGTTGTTATTGTTGGGACTACGAAAATAGGACCTCTGTCTTTAAAACTATTGTGAATATCTATATGCACTTTGCTATTTATTAAAGTTAATCCCAAGGCAGATGGTGATTATTTCGTAGTGCTAGGACAAAATGTCACCACACACCTTGAATCTTGCCTTTTTCCTTCTTCTTTGAATTATAAGCCAGGTAATTTGCTCTGAATCATTTTACTTCAATTTTTTCGTATGTAGTGGTGAAAGATACGAATATATTATTAATACTTATGTTTTAAAATAAAGATGGCTTTTAATTGCACATATATGCTGGTGATGCAGGAAGATTTAAAATACAGTGTTAAACCCAGGCTTTTTAAAAGCACGTAAACCTGGCAAAGTGTCTGTATGAGTTTCCTGTGGCTGCTGTAACAAATTACCACAAACTTGGTGTCTTAAAACATTCTGTTAAGTTTTGGAAGTCAGGTGTCTGAAATCCCTTTCACTGGGCTGAAATCAGTGTCAGCAGAAATATGCTCCCTCTGAAGGCTGAGGCACAATATTCAAGTAAATGCCTTACGGTTACATGGTTGGTTAATGGCATGTTAGGACTGTACTCAAAACTTAACTTGGTTTTACAACTATGGTAGCTCCTGGAAATGTAAAACAGCATTTCCATAAGGCTACACAAAGGACATGTATCATGGTAGATTAACAAAAGCCAGGTTTCACCTGAAATGCTGGTTTAGTGAAACGTCATACACACATTTGAGAAAGTACCATTGCGTTGGCACAGTTTATGCCCCAAATGAAGATCTTTTGGGCACGTTGCCTTGGGATAGTGCATATCACAAAGTGTCCCATTTCCCCTGGTCACTTCTGAGGAGAGGTTTGCATCAGGCATGAGAGCAAAAGAGCAACTGAGCTAAACAGGCTAAAAATGCAGCATACTCTCAATTCTTTGCAGAAAGTTCATGTGGCCTGAACACATCATTAATAAGCTATGACTATGTGAGAATGAGTTTGGATATGTTTAGTGTCCTCAAAGCCCCATCTACATGGAATTCCATGCAAACAATACACAGTAGGGACATGGGAGTCAGCTGGCAGTGTCCCATGGGCACACACAGTCTGTCACTGAACTGTCAAATGAAGTCACTGAGGTACCTGGGGCATTTGCTTCTTGTATACCAACTGTACAAGAAGTATCAGAATAAAACTGTCAGGGCTTGTTAAAAATGAGTTTGTTTACTTGCCAGGCAAGGGAACTGACACCTGTGAAGATATTCACTGAGTAGTTTGCTGGGGATGGGCTTACTTCTAGAGAAGTCGGGGGACCAAAGGAGTTTTGAAGTAATAGGAAGGTAGTTTCACGGTGCTTAGGTGTGTTGGAAACCACCAGTCCAGATAGGGCAGAATAAGTGTGCTTGCATCTGTACCATTGGCTAAAATAAATTCCATTGTTCAGTGGTCAGCAAAGAGTCTGGCATGGCAAGGTCACTCAGAGGTCATGAGTCTTTAACAGTTCTAGCTAGTTTTAACAGTTGAAGGCAAACACAACATTCAGTTTTGATATATCCTGGATTCATACTGCTATAAATAGAAAATTTCCTTTTCCAGCAGTGTAAAGCATTTTATTTAAAGAATTTTCAAAATTGAAAATCTTTTTAAAATGCCTCAACCCCCAAGAAAACACACTGCTATAAGCTTGTATGTGGGCATTCATCTTTTATGGAAGGATTGAGAAGCTTTTCAGAGTGGTGAAAAAGGACATTTCTTCTGGGGCAGAGATGACCACCTTGAGTCCCCTGCAGTGGATCCCCTCCATGGAATAACAAGCACCTTCCCATAGAGCCACAAGGCAGAGAGAGGCACATCCTCTGAGCCCCAAGAGACCTAGAGACCTGTGGCCATCTCAGCAAGATCCCAAACTCCAAAAAGCCAGATACGTCTCCTGGCTGGAGCTCTACACACAGCTGTTTTTAGTTAAGCTTACCTCATGCAATGCAAAGCCTTTGCAAGAAAGAATACTCCCTTTAAGTATCTATTAAAGCAGAGGTCCCCAGCCTATGGTGAGTTGTGTAATTGCTTCATTATATATTACAATGCAATAATAATAGAAATAAAGTGCACAATAAACGTAATGTGCTTGAATCATTCCGCAACCATCCCCACCCCAGGGAAAAATTGTCTTCCATGAAAATAGTCCCTGGTGCCAAAAAGGTTGGAGACTGCTATATAAAATGATCAATCCATCTTCTTCACCTCTGATTCCACTCTCCTATCTCCAGGTATTTTCCCCATCCTGGGAAATCATCCACCCGACTGCTCACTTTTCTAGGAATTTCTAATTCTTTCTCATCTGACTTTCTCAATTAATGCAGATTCCTTTCATTTCCTCTTCGCCCACCCTGCTTTAAGCCCTTTCAGTATAACTTTAGTCACCACCAACCTAGTGTGACTTCACTCTAGGAGGTAGTCAAAGGCCTCATTACTGAATGCAATAGTCTATTCTCTACTTTTAGCTCACTCAAAAATAAGTTTTGTTAAGGTGGCACTTTTCTAATGGGAGCTCCTTATTTTTAACACTTTGGGGATGAGAATATTTATGTAAAGCCAGGGAGAGTGTTTTGTTTGAGGTATTCAGAGGAATTCTTTACCTTGGGACTTTATGAAAACTTTGTGGAGAATGATTATATTCATATGTGGGGGAGGGGAACAGTAACAAGGGAAGCAAAAAAGATTCATTTTTTAAAACATAGATCGAAAGCAATAAAGAACAAGATTGATAATGCAGGAAAGAAAATCAATGACGTAAATGTGTTCTTTCAGAGATGCTCTCCCAGAATGCAGCGGGAAATAGAAAAGATAAGAAAGTTGAAGATTAAGATGATAGCAATGGAGCCTGAAGAATGAAAATCTATGGGTGATGGGGACAAAAAGTTCGGTGGCATAATAGGGGAAAACCTTCAAGCTTTGAATAAGATGTGGATTTAGCGTTAGGCTTACCATCTCTGGTAGGGGGAATAACGGCCCCACAAAAGTGTCCGCATTCGCATCCTAATCCTCAGAACCTGTGAGCATGTTACATTACGTGGCAAAGGAACTTTGCAGACATGATTAAATTAAGGGTTTTGAGAAGGGGGATTACCCTGGATTATCTGAGTTGGCCCAGTGTAACCACAAGGGCTCTTATAAGTGAAAGAGGGAGACTAAGAGGCAGAGATCTGAAGATGCTGCAGTGCCTCCACATGGAAATGGAAAATGCCATAGAAGAAGGAAAAAGGAAACAATAATCTAAAAAAAATAAAATTTACACTAAATGGAAGGAATAAAATCAAACATACACCTTATGTGAATGGAAAGAATTCTTACATCAAAAGCAACTATCAAATTGGAGTTCTGAAAAATGTTTTAAAATTTTTTAAACAAACTTTTCACAAAAATTTAAGTTAAAAGTAAAGAGATGAGGCAACAAAAAATAACATACGAGTAGCAATATTGATATCAGATAAGGTATATTAAAAGGATTATTATTTAATGATAAAAGCAAACTTTATGAAGAAAATACAAGTCTTAAACCTACATGCACCAATCTGGCAGCAATATGTGTAAAGCAAAAACTACTAAAAAATCCAAATATAACTTGAGCAAAATTTGTTATATAAGGGGATAATTTTAAGATATCTTTTTCAGAATTGGGCAGAATTCAGTGCTTTTTAAAATAGAAAAATTGAAAATGTACAATTTTAGGTGTATCTGTGGAAGATTTACAAACATTGATCATATCGTAGCCACTAGCTACACAGGACAAGTGAGCACTTGAAATGTGACTAGTCCAATGAGATACCTGTAAGTGTAAAGTATACGTTAGATTTTGAAGACTTGCCATGAAAAAAAGAATGTAAAATATCTCATTAATAATTTTATATTGAATGTGTATTGAAAGGATAATATTTTGGATATATCTGGTCAAATAAAATGTATTATTAAATTTCAAAAGAGAAAATATGTAAATAAAAAACTAATTTTAATTGTTTCATTTTGCTCTTTTAAACATGCCTACTAGAAACATTTAAATTACATATGTAGTTTGCATTATATTTCTATTGGACAACTCTGTACTAGACCACAAAGAAAATCTATCAAGACTTTTTTGGTGACTTCACAAGAAAAAATCTCTCATTATAATCCAAAATAATTAGAAAAAATAATGGCTACAAAAAAATCTTAACTATGCGGTAATTAAGAAACAGCCTTGGAGATAGCCATCAAATCAAAGAGGAAAGAAAAACACAAAATTTAAGTGATAAAAAAAGCAATTAAAAGGACACTGATTTTTACCAAAACCTAAGAGACATAGAAAAACTTTTATTTATAGCCTTCAATGTCTCATTAAGAAAAATCAAGGCCGGGCACGGTGGCTCACGCCTGTAATCCTAGCTCTCTGGGAGGCGGAGGCAGGTGGATTGTTTGAGCTCAGGAGTTCGAAACCAGCCTGAGCAAGAGCGAGACCCCGTCTCTACTAAAAATAGAAAGAAATTAATCAGACAGCTAAAAATATATAGAACAAAAAAAAAAAATTAGCCGGGCATGGTGGCACATGCCTGCAGTCCCAGCTACTCGGGAGGCTGAGGCAGAAGGATTGCTTGAGACCAGGAGTTTGAGGTTGATGTGAGCTAGGATGATGCCCCGGCACTCTAGCCCGTGCAACACAGTGAGACTCTGTCTCAAAAAAAAAAAAAAAAAAAAATCAAATGTAAAGAAATGAAATACTTAATTAAGGAAGTTAGAAAAGTAACTACAAAATAAGCCAAAAGAAACTAGTATGAGATTATTAATAAAAAATAAGCTGCAATTAGTGAAAGAGAAAGCTAAACGTTTACTAAAAAGAATACACAAATACAAATTATTTCTTTGAGAATACTGATAAAATAATTCAACCCAATATAAACCTTAAATTAAGGAGAGAGGAAGCAAAAATATAAGACAAACTTGGGTCTTTTGTATTTGTAGAAAAATTCCATAAATTACTCAAGAAATCTAAATCCAAGGGTAAACCAAACCAAATGAGTAAGAGTGACAAAAATCTCAAAATAAAAAAGAATTTAATATAACAAAAATAATAATGGCATGCCTCTCACGTATAATACACAGTAAAGTTTTAAATGTAAATGATCTTTCAGGCTCATGCCTGTAATCCCAGCACTCTGGGAGGCAGAGCCCAGAGGATTGCTTGAACTCAGGAGTTTGAGACCAGCCTGAGAAAGAGCAAGACCCTGTCTCTACTAAAAATAGAAAAAATTAGCCAGGTGTGGTGGTGCGCATCTGTAGTCCCAGCTACTCGGGGGGTTGAGACGGGAGGATCACTTGAGCCCAAAAGTTTGAGGTTGCAGTGAATTATGATGATGCCACTGCACTCTAGCCAGGGAGACAGAGCAAGACTCTGTCTCAAAAACAAACAAAAAAATGATCTTTCATGTACCTAATAAATTGGCACAAACATGTCTAAGGTCTCCAGATGATATGCCTTGTCCTGCTGGGTACTTTTTAAGTGCAGTAATAATAATGATAACAGATAATATAATATTTATGGGGTACTCCCTATGGCAACATCAAAACCAGAATGGTTTTATCTCCTGCCCAAGGTCATCTAGCTAGAAAAGTGAGAATGAAGATTGGAGCCAGTGTAGTTAACTCTGGAGAATATAGTCACATAGGAAAACTAGAAGAAACGAGTAACAATTACTTTTTGAATGCCTCCCTACTTTTCAACATTTTTACATATCTAATGGATACACATATATTTTATAATTGGATAACTGCATTGCATAAGGGGAAAAGAAAACCAAATAGAACAAATATCTTGTAGTTTGATCAAAAACAAAAATGAAGTTTAGAGTCCTTTGCAGTAACACATATATTAATAAAAAGAAGTACAGAAATAGGAATATAAAAACTATAAAAGCTCTAAGGTAATGGAAATTAACATAAATTAAGTGAGTATGGCATAAATGGGCTGAATCCTCTCACAAAAAAGATGGCTCACTCAATGGATTAAGAAAAAAAATCCAGCTCCCAAGAGTCCTATTTCAGTTAAACCCAAATATTCTGGGCTAATGTAAGATGCCTCTGAAATCCTTAGTAAAGGAATAGATCCCACTATGGAAACTTGGGGTGGGATAGGGTAGGTTTGGTGATGTGGTCGGCCCCTCCTAAGAAACCTTGCCCTTTTTAAGCTCTTGCCTCTTCATCACTGTCCCACCTACACTGGGTTATCTCCTCTTTACCCCTTCCACCATCTCTCAGTTTCGGTGTCCCAAGTAGAAGACCCGTTTGACATGCAGTCTTCGTGATGCCTTCCCAACTCTGATATGTCCCCCACACTATACACCAGACACCAACTCCTGGTCAGTAAACCTCTGGTCAGTACGGCTTCTTCTCTGAAAAGTTGGACTTGGTTGTTTCTTTCTCTGATTACAGAGACCCCATTTCATTGCCTCACTTCCACTTCACTTCCTGAAACTTCTACTTCCTTTGAGTGCTTAGGGATCCTGTGATCACTTCTCTATCCCTTCCAAAACAGGACACTAGAAGTTATCATGTTGACAATTGCAATTTGCTAGTTCCTTTATCCCTCTACTAAAAATCTACAAGCAAAAGGCCTCTGATGGAATCGTTCACAACTCAATTTATCTGCTCCTGCACAGCTGAAGGAAATCAAACAACCGTGAAGACAGTGCTTCCATCTTCATGGACAGTGTCAGCTGAGTCACACCGGTGTTTATCAGTCCTATTGCAGACCCTCAGCCCTGCCTCTCCTTCCTGTCAGAGCCTATTGCAAACCTTAACTACACTACCGCAGACCACTTAACAGTTTATCTCACTGAAGACTATTAGGACGAGAAGTAGAAATCTTTGTAAAAGGAGTAGATAAGTAAGCACTTGTAACTTAAATATATATAATATATGCAGGCTGGTGTGGTGACTCATGCCTGTAATGCCAGCACTTTGGGAGGCCAAGGCAGGAGGATCACTTGAAGCCAGGAGTTCGAGACCAGCCTGGGCAACATAGCAAGAACCTATCTCTACAAAGAAAATATTTTAATTATCCAGGAGTAGTGGCATTATTGTAGTCCCAGCTACTCAGCAGTTTTAGGCAGAGGATCCCTTGAGCCCAGGAGTTCAAGGTTGCCGTGAGCTATGATCATGTCACTGCACTCCAGCCTGGGTGACAGAGCAACACCCTGTCTCTAAAAAACTATTTAAATAAATAAATAAATAAATACATCAAAATATGCTCTGCCTGGAACGCTGTTTGGATAAAGGTACCAATACAGACCTGAGAGAGTGGCTTCCTGTTGACACAGTTGATGCCCCCAATGAAGACCATGTTGGGCATGATGGGCCTGGGGTAGTCCAGCACAAAGTCATTTCTGAACAGCCACACGGACGCATGGCTAAGAATATCCACCAATGATACCTCTCTCTGAAGAACCTCGGAGGCCAGGCTTTCATAACGAGAAAAAGAAATATGGCACATGTAGAACAAGGCCAGAGGGTAGAGCATGTTCTTGACCCTTTCCACGAATGTCATGTGGTCTGAATTCCTTGTTAGGAGCCTAGGAACATACGAGGAAGGGTTCGGACACTGTGCGCCTTCCAAGTCTAAGTGACATGGAATGAAACGCAAAAAAAACACAGTGGGAATGGACAGGTACTTAGCCAGCATTGCCCCACAGGGGTAAACGGGGTCTGTTAAAACCAAATCAAAGGAACTGGCATTCAGGTGCCCGAGCAGGGTCTTGTTATGCATTAGGTCTGCACAAGACTCATAAAAATATGCAGATGACCTTTTGAAAACCGCCACAGTTTCAAAAATCATCTTCAGAAAATGTTGTCTTTCAAATGCAATTTGAATGTGATCCTTAACGAAGTACCCAAAATCGTACTTGGCGTATGGAAAACCATAGGTTTTCATGGTTACAAAGTCCTCTTCTTTGATGCGCATATTCACCTCTGGTGCGAGGACCACGGCTTGGTGGCCTCGGGCATGGAGCTCCCTCACCACCTCTCGCATGCTGAGCCAGTGGCTGCCATCCATGGGTACCACCAGTACCTTCTCACCCTCAGCCCAGGGCTCACCACTCAGGAAGAGCAGCAGCCCCAGAAGCCCCATTGGAAGAACCTGGAGTCCGGTGGCCATCTCGGCAGAAGCCAACAGCAACTAACTTTCCACCGCAGGCTGTGCCTCTTATATTCATTTTTTTCACCCTTGTTAGTTTATCATTGAGTCATTTAGCAAAATGGCATGTAATTGAAAGACAGAGTGCACTCCTTAAGTTAATCATTACAAAATAAATCTATCCCTATCCGGCCGCCAGGAGAGATCCAATCACTCCTATCTTGGAAAAACTCATCTGACCCTTCTGCTCTCTTTGAGGAACATTTGAGTTCAGCCTCATGTTTTTCATCCAATGTCCAAAATATGTGCACACACGTTTCATATGATCGCCTCCTACTTCTCTATTAACCACATTCTACCAGGCTGTGACTATGCTCTGAAGAGTCGCCAATGTCCTGGTCCCCAACCATAACCTCTCTGCTAGATGTGATCCTATCTTAGAACTGCTTCCTCCCCTGCATGAGTAACACAGAGCACATCCAGAGAAGCATATAACATTGCTAAGCCAGCTTTCTCTAAATGAGTAGGGAGATGCTGGTCTCTGGTTTTGTTCATTTTCCAAACCAGGATATCTCTCGTAATGATCAGGGAGGATTCTATTTGAAGTGGTTCTCAAATAAGCGAATAGCTGGAGGGACACTGACCTCAAGATGGGATGATGTGATTCTGTTGAAGGGTTTGTTGAGAATTCTACGTCTACTCCATGGAATATGAAATGCTATTATCTAAGGCACACATGGGCAAGACAACCCTAAGCAATGACACACAGTGAGTTTGGAACACATCGTGCTCCCCACGGGACAAGAGGAAGCTGGAGCCCGGCCCCAGATCTGGCCTTGTCTGAATTTCTCTTCTCCTGAATGTTGAAGCTCCAGCCTTCTGCTACTCTGTTTAGGGACTTGGGCGCACATTGAAGCTTATATTCAGGCCTTTCTCCAAGGTCATTTCCAGTGCCAAGTCCTGATAGGGACAGATTCCTCCAGAACAGGAGGGCTA